CTTTGAGCAAACCAATGACCAAGAATTTTGTACAGAAGAGAACTAAGCAACAAACAGGATGAAAATCGACGGACTGAAAACCATGAACTTATCTGAAATACGGAGCTAATTACAAAGGATGGGATAATGATTAGATTGAGTCTTGAGTTGCCAGAGCTTTGTAGTGTTGCCTCAGAATCACCAAGATTTGCTTGACTGCACATATACTGGTCTCAGAGCTTTTGTACATTACTTGAAGAAAGAGACAAAGCTGCTTTAAGTTGCTGTGCGATTTGAGGCTAGGAATATCAAAGACTTCAGAATAGCCATTTAAAAATTAGCCATTTATAGCCTTTATTTCCATATTGTCTTCTTTCCAGCCAATAAATAACAAAATTTGATCTTCAGTGCAAGATCACATACAGTCTATGGAAAAACCGCGGTTATACCTGCATGGCTTTGGGTAAGTCATTTAACTTCTCTGATCTTCAGTTACCTTATATGAAGCATGGGCTTGAGGATGCTATGTTGTGTTAATAGTGCTGTGCTGAGAAAAACATATGAAAAAAATATCATAGCGTAGTTCACGGTATGCTGAAGAAAATAAATATAGTTTTATGCCTTTCTCTACCTTGAATCAGAATCTCTTTCTGATTCAAGATCACCAGAATATCTTGAGTTCTGTTGAACTCCTGTTTTGCCTAATTTCAGGAAGAATGGCCATTCAAGCACTTTCAGAGGAGGCAGGGTGGGAGTAGGAATGGGGAGACTGTCCCAGGTTTACATTGACATAATGTATTGTCCCCTCACCCATCTGTGAACATTTCAATCCCTCTTTTTAAAGGAACAACAAGTACAAAAGATACTAGGCAGACTTTCATAAGATGCTCCGAGGTAAAGGGAAGTGGGGTGTGATGCATGGACACATGGTAAATAGAGATACCAGCCACTGTTTGCCTGGTGAGTTTACAAAATGAACCCTGTTGGTTTTAAAGGCAGCTAATTAACTAGGCTATATCTTTATGTCTCCTGGGCTCACTTTATTACAGTAGATGGACCTATTATTAGTTTATTTCTTCTTTTTTTTTTTTTTTTTTTTTTTTT